AAGCAATTAAAGAGTCACTGGAGTTGAAGTTGGTAAAAATATACCAATACTGAGTCCAGTTGAATTTACACTTTATATAAAAAGTCTTACATTATAGAATTTTTATTGTTATTTCTTCTATTGTATATTTATTATTTCCTTTAAAGAAATTCATCTCAACTTCGTTTTTAAAGCCATTTTATTTTTTGTAGTTATTTTGTATTTGCAAATCTGCATATGTAAAAAAATCTTACATTATAGAATTTTTATTTTGTTATGTCTTTCACATCCTGTAAAATATTATATTTCAACTTCTATTATAAAGTAGTTTTATTTTTGTGCTGTACTTATTTCTTATTTGCAAAGATGATATATATATATATATATATATATAGTTTATGAAAAACTAGGTAATCCGTATGGGTAGACCCAAGGAGGATAAAATCCAGAGAGCTCAATGTAAATCCAGAGCAAATAATTTAAATAAAAACAGACCACTCTAAGGTTTCATGTATTAAATTATTTTACCACAGCCCTTTTAAAGAACTGCAGATCATCAGACTTTACTTCCAAAGGTTGAAATGAAAAATGAAAAGAAATTTACACATTTTTGACGGGCTGTATTAAGCATATGTAAATTAATGATATATATATAAAAGTCTTACATTATATTATTTTTATTGTTATTTCTTCTATATCCTTTCAAAGATTTTGTCTCTAATTCTGTCAGAAAACATTGAAGAATGATATAAAAGCCACAATATCTTTATTCTTTTATATAAACCAGTTATAATGATATTGGCCTTCTCAAGAGTGTATACATAGGCTTTATGAGGTTAGTAGTCCATAACCACTTAATTACATAAAGAGGAGTTGGATGTAGCAAAAATAGAGAAGTCGGAGTTAAAGGTTTTGTGTTCTGACTCCTCAGCTCTGGTTAAATTCCTTAAGTTTTATCAGATCAGACCTTCACAGAACCAACCATAAAATGTTTACAGTAGACAAACCATCTCCATTCCATTTGTGTTCCTTTGATGACACTCAGACAGCTTCTTCTGCAAAACTACTGCTTCATGGAGCAAACTCCCAAGTGGATACTTCTCTGACAATTACAATCTTTAAGTCCAGGATTAATGAATATCTATTCTACTTGTCTTCATAATGTGCACTTCTTACATTCTCCATCCCCATCCTTTACAACAATATAATGCAGTAATCCTCTACCTTGAGTGACACTTGGGCCTTGTATTGGGTAAACTAACAGGAATTAAAAAAATAGACTATTCTGTTGTGATCTCCAAGAAAGATGGCAAAGTCATATCAGAGATGTTGTTTGGTTTCACTGAGAAAAAAAATTAGAAGATAGAAGAGGCAATAAAGCTATCTTGTTACAGTGAAATGGAAATACTTTTCAATTTCAAATATTCATTTGTACCCTCTTACTTCTTTAAATAATGACCTGCATTCTTATTTATGATGATTATTGCAATATTTTGTTAAAGATTTTAAGCCCAAATGTTTAACGAGGCAATAAAGGAATTCCCATGGGTATTTTATAGCTGTGGAGCTCTTAAGGAACTTATTTAGTCATTAACTTAAGAATTACATTTTTATAAGTACTACCGGTGGTTATAATTCTTCTTAGTTCTTGTGTCTTGGAATGTTCATAAACAATATTCCTTGCTTTGCAAACGGTTGACAATACAAGACCCTGTTTATTGACAGTATAACTGGTTGTTGTTGAACAAGTGAATCAATGTCACCTGGCTCAACCATCAACAGCTTCCATACAGTTTTGTCTACTTATTTTCACTCACAAAGTTTGGGTCAACTCATAGTTTGGTTTTCAGGTACTTCACAACTGTGCCTCATGCTTGAATTGTCTCCCCACTTTGTTAATATCAAGAATTCACCTCCTTCGCAAATCGACTTGTGAGATTTGAACCTTGCTCTCATGGTGATATATGCCGATCTTCACTGGCAAGCACTTGGAGAGCAATTGCTATCATATTTTGTCAATTTCAAATCTTTTCCTTTGTACTCTCTTACTTCTTTAAATAATGACCTACATTCATACTTATGTTTGTTAGAGAAATATTTTGTTAAAGTTAAGCTAAAATATTGAACAATGCAATAGGAGAATATTCATGGGTGTTTTATAGTCATAGGACTTGCAAAGAGCTTATTCACACATTAATTAAGAGTTATGATTCATTGGAGATTCAAATAACAGATATAGACAGATATTGAAATTATTTTACTATAAAAAAGCATTGCTGTTTTCTTTTATTAAAGGAATCTATTAGAATCATTAAATAAACCAAAACTTTGTTTCATTCTTATATTACATACTGAGTGAGATGGTAAATACTCAATGCATATCTATAGATTCTGTAGAAATTTTGTACATTGTTGATGTTTATATAAAGAGTGATAAGAATTTTTTTAAAGAAAAAGTAAAAAATAAACTATGAAATTTTTATGGGTAAGTTTTTTTGTTTTTTTTAATCAAGTCACACGCCAAAGCAAGGGGTTAATGCCACAAAGATGCAAGGGTATGAAAAATACATTGGAAGGAACTGGAAACCCATTCCTAAACAGGAATCAAGGGATAAACCTCTACACCTGTTCCAGATAATGATTATTGTTGTATTCTTCCCAATGTCATCACAACTTATTGTGATATTATACATGATATCATAAGAGTACAATTGTAAGTTTTTTACATTTTCTGTAAAAAAAATTCTTATCACTGTTTCAACATACAAAATTTCCACAGAATCTCTAGATATGCCTTGAGTATTTGCCATCTCATTCAATATGAAATATAAGAATGAACCAGAGATTTGATTTATTTGATAATTCTAATACATTCTTTTAATAATAAAAAAAAAACCCTGCTTTTTTTCTAGTAAAATAATTTCAGTATCCGTCTATATTTTTGAGATGAGGAATTGTAACTATTTATACTGTTTACATTGTTCAGACTGTTGTGATCATCTTTATTATCATATTAACAATGTTTCAGCCATTGTACACTGCAGCCTTCTTCAGGTGATATACATTGAAATTTCAAACTGAACCCTTTATTTCGTCTACACTGGCAGATTGTTCTAGTTCCACATGCCATGCCTTTTCTGGATCTATCAGTTACTTCCCTTTAGTAACTCAACTCTCCAAGTTTTTGTTCATCTCTGCTGTGGCCAGGTATTGAACTCACAACTCTTTGGGTCAGGTCACTGGATTACCAAGGACACAGTGGATAAAAGCGTTGGTTGAAGTCATCCAGTGACTTGATCCAAAGAGTTGTGAGTTCAATACCTGGCCACAGCAGAGGTGGACAAAAACAACAGTATTAAAATATTTTCAATGCATTTCTATAAGAAAAAAATATTTTTAATAAATTTCTATATTATCACTTCCACTGCTGTGGACATATAGAGATATCTTCATTAAACTTACATTGCCTGTTTACAACATCTGCCACGTATGTTGGGGCATTTATTATGACATGGCAATAAATCCGGATAACCTTATTTTCTTCAATTTCCTTTTAGAATAGACAATGGGACTTATACTAAGTTAAAACTTAAATTAATCTTGCGAAAGGGTAAATGCAAGTGTCAGCCAGGACTCTTTGCAAATTACCTCCCCCTCTCATCATTACCTCTGTTTTTGTTGTTGTTGTATGTGTTATATATAATAGGAGTAGGTAGGCTTTCTTACCACCCGGTCAACACTCCCACCCCTTCTCTTGGACATGAGTAGAGGCTTACGCCTTGTTTCTTGTTTACGAAGAGGTTTCCGGTACTCTCTCTCTGGCCTCTGTATCTCCAGTTGCCTTGATCTATCCACTACTCTTCTCCTCATCCTTTCTTCTATCACTCCTATCTGATCTTGCTCCAAATTTTCTGTAACCCCTTGCGTCCTAGTGGCTTTCCGCCTTGCTTGGGGTGAAACGCTTAAAAAAAAAAAAAAAATATTTTCAATTTTATGGCTTATCAATCCTTTGTGGGTTATTAAAAACTGAAATGTATCTTGGACTGTAAGATTAATTTTTCATTTTTTATATTTAACACATATCTGGAGGGAGGAGATTGGTTCATGCCTTTCACTGGGGTTATTTGCACCTAAGTGAATGTTACAAACTCAACTAGATTTCAAACTCAGCTCTCCAATTTCTCTGAGCCAATATACTTTGCACTAACCACATATCCACACATTTTTGTTATAAACTATCACTTGGTACTATTTCCAAATCAGCATGACCATATAATAGTGTACCTATTTTGAAACACTTTTATTGTGGAGGGAGTTGCTTAGTTTAGTCTATACCACAGAGTATCCTATAGAAACTAAAATGGTGGTGCCAATGAGAAATTGCCATTGGCTTATTTACAAACATCAATTTCTTATTTTCCTCAAAATGGTCCAGTACGGCCAGGCAAAAATGCTATAACAATGCAGCAATTAACATGTTAATATAATTTACCAAATATTTCTTTGATAAAATAATTTCAAATGAATTTCTGAAAATGCTTTTAGAATTTGACACCATGATATATATGAAGAGTGGTGAAAATTCCTCAGCCTGTCCAACTTTCCAAAATCTAACCAAATAGAAAAATTTCATGAAAATTTGCTTTGAAATCCCCACTTAGTCAGGCTAAGAATTTCTCAGCACTTCTATCATATTTAATTATAAGATAGAATGAAAAATTTTTTACATCTATTACAGGAACAAATTGATTTGTTTTCCATGGTTTATCAACCTTTTGCAGGTTGCTTAAAGCCAGAAAATATTTTTAGACTGTAAAAATTTTTTTTGGGGGGGGTAGTAATGGTTTAGTGATACAAACTTTACTAATTAACCTATAGATGGGGGCGAGATGAGGTTGAGTCATACCTTTGCCTGGGGTATTTGCGTGTAAGTGAATATAGCGAACTCAAAGTGAATTGGAACTCAACTCTCCAATTAACAATTCTGAGAAATTATCCATTACACCACCTGCACATCCAAGCTTACAGCACCTGGTATTTCCAAACAGTCACCCATCTAAGTATTAACCAGGCTCAACATTGTTTAACTGTGGTGGTCACACAGAAACTGGTGTTTCAACATGACTTGGCCATACGCCAGCAACAAATTTACATATATATATATATATATATATATATGAAGAACAAATAGGAACGATTTAGCAATCTAACATTTTCATTAAAGCTTCAGAGAAATAATAAAATAAAAGTAAAACATGTTAGATTGATAAATGTTTCATATTTGTTCTTTACCTTATCATTCTGTTGGATTCTGATTCATATTATATATATATATATCTCCAATAAATTATGTCAACTAATTTTCTCTGTGAAAGTTTGCACTTTTATATTGTATTTAATGTTTCTTTTGACTTGAATGGAAAATTTGACCAATCAAGTTGATTAAAATAAAAATCAAATTTAAACTGTTAAAGTTTGATGCATCTATCTGCACATGGTGGGGGGGGGCAGAGCAAGTTTGTGGAGGGGGATAAGGTTATTGTCCACTCCACATGAAAAATAACTACAAAGGCAAAAAAAAAAAAAAAGAAACGTGCATTTCTGACATTTTCTTTTGCATGAGGGTGTGGACACTGTAGTAACAAAATATCCATGGAGATAGCACACCTACGTCAGAGATCTGTCTCTCCCTCCAGTTACTATTGGTGATGCCAAGGAAGGCTGGCAGCCTTGGTAATAACAGACAAAGAAAGAAAGACAGGGTTGAGTTAGCAACAGCAGTTCTTAACTCTGGACTGTATAGTCGGATCACTGAGCTACCAATGTCGGTAAACTTGGTAAAAGGTACTACTTGCATACAGACAACTGCTATTTTTACTTTTTCTGTGGATAGGCAGGCTTGTCATTGCTAAAGGTGAACATGGTGCTTCTTGTGTACCAAACAGTGATTAGTTGATCTGGAAGCAGCAATAGCAGTACCAGTAATAGCAGTACTAATACGATGACTAATAATAATAATAGTGTTAGAAATGGTAGCAGTTCCTTCTTCAATATTTTATCCATGACAAAACTGACCGGCAAGTAATATGGTATCTGAAAGACGACACTGTGTATAAATGTTTTTTTGTTTTTTTTTAGATTATAAACCAATTGATTTCCTTTATTTTAAGAATATTGGTAAAAATATAAATTATACTCAAATTAACACTTTATATCTTATCAATTTTATTATAACTAATGATGTCAAATTTATTTACATACATATTAATATTCAGCAGCAGAATGTTGAATGAATTGTTTCTAAAATAGAATTCCAGCCATGCTCAACTCACACAATTTAGAATAAACCTACTACTATTTAGACACCACAAAAACCACATCTTAAACAGACAAACATAAAAAGAAATTAACAATAACTAACAACAAAAACCCACTTGAATATATATATATATATATATATATTTTAAGACATTTTTATGGTTATACATTCTTCTTATAGATACAAATATTTAAGTAAATGCTCTGTTTATAATAAGCAGTATTAATAACATTTACCGGCCCTGAATCAAGAAATCTTCATGAAAATATTGTCCTCCGACGGAAGTTCAGACCTGTATCCTATACGGAACCATCATTATACCCTACGTGCTTTTGAGCCACAGAGGATCGTTCGGTTAGCAAAGTCAATTTACTGAATCCTTCCATGAATCTCTCACGTACATTCATATCTGATCAAAGCGTATCCAAATTTTACAGAGTATTTACTTAAATATTTGTATTTATAAAAAGAATGTATAAACATAAAAATGTCTTAAAATAATTTTCGGACTTTGTCCATTTCATAATGTGTGATGTCATTTGTTTATATTTCGATACGCAGTGAGCAGATATGAATGTACATCAGAGATTGTAGTTTAAAAGCAGTAAAATCAACCTTGCTAACTGAATGATCCTCTGTGGCTCAATTGGTTAAGGCACGTCAGGCTATATGACAGTTCTGTATAGGATACAGGTTTGATTCCTGTCAGAGGACAAATATTTTCTATGAAGATTTCTTGGACATTCAGGCCGGTAAATGTTATTAATACTGTTTATTATAAACAGAGCATTTACTCAAATATTTGTACCTATAAGAAGAATGTATAAACATAAAAATGTCTTAAAATAATTGTTGGACTATTCTTAACAGAATATAAAAATAAATATATTTATTTAAATTATAAAACTAAAAATCACTACAAAATTTTGTTTCAACACCTTGGTGTCTTATCAAATGATGATGTTGAGTGCAGATTGTAGAATGAAGGTTTTAAAAGGTTCAAATCAAATAACCACCCCTCATAAGGGGAAACGCTGTTACATGAGCTGAAAAGACCAATCAAAAAACAAGTATAATTTCAGCTCATGTAACAGCATTTCCCCTTACGAGGGGTGGTTAGTTGATTTGAACCTTTTAAATTCATTCTACAATCTACATTCAACATCATCACTTGATAAGACACCAAACACATTGAAACAAAATGGCTATTTTTGTAGTGATTTTATAACATATTTATGTTATAATTTTTAAATAAATAATTATATATATATATATATATATATATATATAGTGTATTTGGGCAACAATCGCTCTTTTATACAAGTTTCATTAAACACAATGGATACCTACCAAATTCCACCCTAAACATACTTGTAGAAAATACAAGTATAATAGCCTCATCTGCATATAAAAAAAAAGAATAAAAATAATGGAAGCCTTAATAATGAAAAAAAAAGCCCACACTCAATAACATTAACTGTGAACACAGCCACAATTTGCTTGTTTCTAAAATAATAATAATAATAATAATAATAAAAGCATTCCTATCATTCTAGATACACAGATAAAAAATAAATACATTCAGTTAAAAATAAAAATCATCCTTGATAAACAATTAAAGAATTTTGGTTATGGCTTGGTTTTCCTAATAATTTAACCTATTAATAAAGTTATAAATAGATAATTTATTCTAGCTTTAAATCCCTCATTACTTAATAATACAAAACCCTTAAATCTATTCTTTCTTTATATTAATTGTCTAAATATAATTTATTGTTAATATTATCAATACATATTTGTTGTTAATATAATTTAGTATTCCCTAGTGGGAACCTCAATTCCTTTATATATAATTAAAGGTTTTGGTCATAAATAAACTCCCCTTTTGGCCCTTCTTTTAGTTTCATTTCAACACCTCACTCTTCATATAAGCCCAACTCAGGATCATAAGGTTAATATTAGGGTTGATTCCAGTGGGGACATCTTCCACTTTTAGAGAGATACCTCTTGGCCACCCTTTACCACCAACTCAGGCATTTTATCTAGCAGAGGAATCATTTTGGGTAGGTTCAGTACTTTTTCCTTGAGTGTTATCTAAATTAAATTCTAAATCCCTGATTTCAAGACAAATTCAGTTTAGGGTTTGAAGAAGACAGGTTCAAGGTCATGCTGGCTGAAATAGACTATACTCACATGAGGTAATATTAGGGTTGATTCCAGTGGGGACATCTTCCACTTTTTTGCTGTGTAATATATATATATATATATATATATATGTATGTGTGTGTGTGTATATATATATATTTTTTTTTTTTTTGAACAATAAAAGAAATTAAAAAATTAAAATCTTCAGACACACTGGGTTGTATATTAGTATTCTTTTATTTTTATTATTATTTCATTTAGATTCTTCGACTAGTTTTGTCCAACATGGCCATCATCTCATCATATATATATATATATATATATATATATATATATATATATATGCACACAGACTGCATTTCAGTAGGATCTTAAATGTCTCTCTTTACCATGGAATTGCCAAAATATTAGATGCTCTTTAAGGAAAAAAAGTTCTTCAATCATATATGAAGTTATAATTTCTAGAAACTGGTCCTTTTTAAAACAATCAACACATTTACGACATAGTGATGATAACTTCATAATATGTCACCTGATGTTATAAATAAAGCAAACAGCAAACATTCAATCAAATTTACTGATGAAATAGAAACAAACTCTTTCCTCAATATCATATTAAACTGTATGGATAATGATCTAAAAGGAAATATCCACTAGTAAAAATCATCTCTATTTACATGGAACAATAAAATTAAATCTGGATAATTATTAACTTCTAAAATGACCTTGAGCAAGGTCTGAATCCATCTCTTCTGCCACCTGCCAACTAGCAGAACAGACTGGGTTCTTTAGCTTTGGTTGGCAACCAGCCTACCACAGAAAGTAATGGCAACCTACTACAGGAAAATCTTCTGCCTAGTCAGTCATGAATTGAAAGTGACATGATCGCCCAAGTATAATGTATGGCACTTAATTCAAGAGCACTTAGAATTTGTAGTCCTTAATATTTATATGATGAGGAGAAATACATTGAAAATACTTTTAAACTCTAATATCCTAACTTATTTATATCTAATGCTCAGCATAAAGCAATTGATTCACTACTCCATGCTACACTGTTTAATTTGGTATATGCAACAAATAGGATTTCTATGAACACCTCCTTCAATTTCAGTTCTGTCATGTCAACATTGTGCTGTTCTTCCTCTATCATTTCAAGTTATAATGGTAATATCCATGATACTCCAAAGTCTTGTCACTCACTTGATTTTACTGAGCCAGGGAATAACATCTCCCTCACTACAAAACAGTTACAACATCTTACTGCTTAATTTAATCTTTTCTGCCATTCTTTGCCTCTTTTTAAATAGATCAAAATAGGGTCAAAATAGCTTGGAGTTTAAATTCATTAAAGGAGGCATAGTGATAGCAGCTCAGATTGAAGAATCGCAGAGCCAAGTTCAAATTCCAGTCGAATCCATTACATTCACTTACATGCTAATACCCTTCGGAAAAGTATAAATCCTCTTCTTTTTCCCCCCAGCTATGAGTAAATAGCAGGACAGACTTGGTTCTATAGCCTTGGATGGTAACTAGTCTACTGCAGAAACAAATGGCAACCTATTGCAGGAAAAAATCTGCCTCGTCAGTCACATATCAAAAGATACATGATCGCCTAAGCATGTATCATGCATGGCACATAACTGACTGAAAAGTCTTTTGTTCAT